ATATTCATGAGATAATAGTTATTATAATTATTAATGTTTATGCAAGCATACCACAGCACGTGCAAACACTAAAATTATTGCTTAATGCTTATCTCTGAGTCTGACCACCTGTCAACTGAAGCCAAGTAAGAACATGTCCAGACAGTTAACTCTCTTTCAATCAATCCAGCTTAACCAGGGTATATAATTTTAATTATTTAAGTTATGATCAATGTAATGTAATTATATGATTAGGGGATGGTGGTAGTAGTAACAGTACTGTCATAGAGCCTGACGCATCTGACTGTCCCAGTCCCACAAACCTTCATGGTGAAGAATCAACCACTGTTAGCTCAAATGTGGGTTCGAATGAGTCATGCTCTGTAGAAGAAGAGGAATCATTGAACATTGATATTGCCTCTGGTCCACATGAGAATCCAGTTCAACCCATAAATTACCCGTTTCCCTTTACCATGATCAGCAACAAGGCACGCTCTTTTAATGCGAAGTGGTATCAACAATATGAATGGATTGAGTATTCAATTGCAAAAGATGCAGTGTTCTGTTACCCCTGTCGCTTGTTTTGTCATGCCAGTAATAAAGCTGAAGATCGTTTTGTTACCCTTGGATTCAGAGACTGGAAACATGCTAGTGGAAAAGGTGGGGCCTTTGCTAAACATGATACCTCTAAGAGTCATCAAGAGGCCTTAATGAATTGGAATCAGTTCAAGGTGACAGTTGCTACTGGTTCATCGATTGCAACCAGATTGGATAGTGCCAGAAAGGAGCAGATCAAGAAGAACCGCCACTATTTGATTGCTATCATCCATTCACTGATGTACTGTGCTTCACAAGAAATCGCTCTTCGTGGTCACAGGGAAACACCATCAGTATCAAATCAGGGCAATTTTTTGGAGCTTGTCAAACTCCTTGCCATGTATGATCCAATTATTAATGATCGACTAACGTCCGGTCCTCAAAATGCACTCTACACATCTCATTCTATCCAGAATCAGCTGCTTCATATCCTTGGTGAGAAAATTCGGAATAGTATCTGTCATCAAGTGCAATCAGCAGGGGTGTTTAGTATATTAGCAGATGAGACGAAGGATTTTTCGAAGCAGGAACAGATGTGTTTTGTGGTTAGGTATGTTGATATGGCCCAAGGTGAGATCCACGAACACTTCCTGACATATGTCGAAGCGAAGGCTCTTGATGCTACTAGCCTTTCCACATATATCAAAGATCTTCTCTTAAAGTTTGATTTAGATTGTTCAAAGATAGTTAGTCAGGGGTACGATGGGGCTAGTGTGATGAGTGGTAGGTGTGCTGGTGTCCAAGCCAAAGTACGAGAATTCGCTCCAAATGCTGTATACATTCACTGCTATGCTCACATTTTGAATTTGGTTCTAGTGGATTCCTGTAGATCTGTCTCTTCTGCCTCTGAATTCTTTGCACTCCTTGAAGCTTTATATGTCTTTATGGCATCATCAAAAGCACATACAGTTTTTATAGAGGTACAGAAGAAGAATAACCCAGACAAGCAACCGTTAGAACTCCAGAAACTGTCCGACACTCGATGGGCTTGTCGATATGCTGCTATCAATACAATATGCCGTACCTTTGATTCCCTATTGATGGCTTTAGAAGAAATTGGTTCATCTTCTGATCACTCGAAAGCAGTCGAAGCCAAAGGGTTATTGTTCCAGGTTCAGTCATTTTCCTTCCTACTCTCACTTGTCATCTTTGATCGTATTCTGTCATGTACCAAGCAGCTCTCAGATCAGCTACAATCTTCAAAGATTGATCTGTATCGTGCCTCCGAACTGGTTACAGCATCCAAGGTTATGCTTCAACAATTCCGTACTGATGAATATTGGGATCAAATCTTCCGTTATGCCACTGACATAGCGAACACTAATTCTATATCAACTGAAGTGGATGAGCCACGGTCTACCAGGAAGCGAAGAAGACCTGCCAACCTTGATGACAGTATCATCACAGATTCTGTTGGATCTCGGGAGCCTATTACAACATCAAGTCATTTTAAAACAAGGCTATACTTTCCTGTACTTGACCAGTTCCTTGTAGAAATGAATGCGCGATTCAATCAGTCCAATTCCATCATTCTAAAGGGAATAGCCACATGTAGTCCGTCTTCATCTGTATTTCTAGAATTTCAAGACATGAAAGAATTTGCACTCATGTTCGGAATAGATGTGACAACTCTGGAAATGGAAGTTGCCTTGGTTTCTCGAGTTGCCTCCCTCAACAGCATAAAAACAACAGTTGACCTCGGTCGTTATCTTCACTCCTGTTTGCCTGCGTATAGAAATCTCTATGACACCGTTCAAATCGCCCTCACAATTGCTGTAAGCAGTGCTGAGTGTGAGCGCTCCTTCTCCTCACTGAAACGAATCAAAACCAGGCTGAGAACTACAATGGGAGAAGATCGTTTGTCTGACCTGGCTATACTGTCCATCGAAAGGGATATGGCTTCAAAAACTTTAGACTATGAACAAATAATAGATGAATTTGCATCTGCTGACAAAAACCGACGAATAGTTCTTTCTTAACTTCATAACCTGGACCATATCTTTGCTCTTCTTCTCCATTTAAATAATTAATATTATAATTAATTTTGATAGTAATAAAACAATAATGTTAATAATTTAAAACAATTAATTTTAATTATAAATAAAGTAGTATTGGTTATGCTGGTGAGGCTGCTACTTCCCAGCCAGTATTCAGTCATTCACTGTGTATTGGTTGGAGCTTGTAGTTGCAACTTTTGAACTGAAGATACTGCCTGTGCCCACCCAAAACCAAATTTCTAGATCCGCCACTGCTTCTCTATCTTTATTATTTACTCTTCCTCTCTTTCTCTCTCTCTCCAATGGCAGTATATGTGAACCACACTGCATTAAGTGTCAGTGATTCTAGTCTATCCAGTACATCAGAGCCTACTGTTGTATCTACTAGTAAGTTCAGGTTCACTGGGTCTAAGGTGATAAAGGAGAGTGATACAGTGATCACTGTTGATGAGAATGAGGAGCTCTCTCCTGGTACCAGTGTGAAGACCACTGGTGAGATACTGGAGTGGATCAGACGTAGACTGGAGGGACAACTGGTGGCTACTGGTCGAGAGTATGTGACACTGGGTGACTTGAAATCAGCAGTACATGCTGACCTACCAGTAAGTATCATAGTCAGTACTGTATACTGGTTTATTATTGTAATGATATATTTTTGCCAATTTTGCATTTTGCTTCGTCAT